TGGGGCGTCCATGGTCTAACCTTGCTTGCAGTACCGGAGAAATATATCACGCTAGATATCACTATAGATATGGGCGTCGAGTCACAACCAGGTCCAGAGATAGACAGGAGTTTCGGAGGAGTTAATAAGAACTACCCGATGTTAATGCGAACTAAGCCAGCGTCTTTGAAATGCTCTGAACTCTTGTCTCTCCGAAACAAGGCTTTGAAGCCATCTCCGGCCGTTCTATCCCAGTTCAAGTCACTCGGCATTCTGAAGTACCGTAAGCAACATGGTGCTCGAATTTCACGATCCACCTCAACCAAGAAAATCCCGGTGATGCAAGGCCGCCGTTTCATGCAGGCTGATGGTCGGAAAGTGGATCGGAGTAACTTAGCTAACATTCCGCTTGTCAACACAACTGACAAAACATCCACCTCTAAATTAAAGAGTTTCGCTGTCCCAAAATTTTTGTTTACGAACATTTGTGGCTTGTCGAAAACAAAAAGTCGTGTACAAGCACCAGTGGCGCTTGAGGCTGACCTGAGATCTCAGGACATTGATGTGTGTATTTTCAGCGAGATTCATCTCTCCACTAATATGCCGGACGCCGTGGTGAATATCCCAAGTTACAATGTGTTCAGGCGGGACAGAGGTTGAGCAGACTTGGACAAAAGGAAAAAAGGGGGTGTTGCGGTCTATGTGAGAGACAGTCTTGAAGTCTTGGATGTCTATCGGTCCAATTTATATGAGTTTATTGCTTTAACAGTGCTGTTGCCATCCGATCACATTATGCTAATTTGCGGCCTGTATAATCCTCCCAAGCATAGCTACCGGGATCTCGACTTAATTAATTATATAATATCTTTTGTGGACCTTGTTTTGAACAAACACCCAGAATCGGCTATTGTCTGTGGCTTTGTTTTCCGGCGGGATTAAAACTTAAACCTGTGCGCCGCAAAGTTCTTGTGCGGGACTGTAGGGAACATCGGAAACAGTCATTTTATATGGCACTCGCTACACTGCACTGGAGTGACGTCCTCAACGCGGTGGACATAAGCAAGGTGGTCGAGGTGCTTGAGGAAAAGATTCGTGCAGGGATGAATAAGTTTATGCCGCAAAAATCTCTACGCATGTCATCGAATGACCCAGTTTGGATGTCCCCATTAGTCAAGTTTATGCTGAGGACTAAGTCCCGTATATCTTTAAACAACAAGGAACGTCTGTCTTTATTTAATAAGCGCATTTCTGAGCTGATAACCGAGAACAGACGAAAACCGGCTGTCAATGATAGCAGTGAGTGGTGGAAGGGCGTGGACGCCCTATTGCAGCGTCGCAGGTCATCGTTGATAAATTCGGACGAGAACTCTCTAGTTCGTCTGAACAACTACTTTGCCAACCTGTGCCATGATGACACTTACGTTAGACCTATTGATACGGATATCCCGGACAGTATAAAGCTCCCGAAAATATGTGAGCGGTGTGTTTGGAATACCTTAGTTCATATAAATAAAACGGCAACGAGACCAGACGACCTCCCGTACTGTAGCTGGAAAGACTGTGCTGAACTACTCACACCAGTCGTCACTCACGTTTGAAATCTGTCGCTGTCTACTCATACATGGCCAGACTCCTGGAAGAGAGCAAATGTTAATCCTCTCCCCAAAGTAAACATGCCTATAGAGGACTCAGAGTACCGTGGTTTTAATGTTACTCCCGTTATTTCCCGGTTGTTCGAGAAGGTCGTGTATCGTACACAAGCACAGTCAGTTATTGAGAACAACCTGAGCCACACCCAATTTGCATATAGACAGGCGGGTAGTTGCACAAATGCCTTGCTCGCTATCCAGGACCAGACATACAAGTATTTAGATAGTAGTGACTGTAGCGCAGTGCGAATTTTTACCATGGACTTCAGTAAGGCTTTCGATTTTGTGAACCATGCTATTTTGTCTGCCAAACTGAAACAGCTACCTCTAAATCCGTACATTATCAATTGGTATCATAGTTTCCTCTATGCAAGACAACAACGTGTTGTTAGTTATAATTTTTTAGGACAGTGGAAATCTGTCAATAGAGGAACCACACAAGGTAGTGTAAGCGGACCGTATCTTTTTAATATATTTTTGAACGATTTGGAGATTTTTTTTAATGGTTGCCCTGTGCTTTTTAAATATGCCGATGATTCCACTATTCTTTCGCCTATCACTAGGAATAGTGACCCGTCTGCCGACTTAGTAGGACAGTTCTTAACATGGTGTAAAGACAATAGAATGGTCTGCAACCCTTGCAAATGTAAAGAGCTGGTTGTTAGAAAGAAAAATCATAATGTACTCTACTCTCCAATTAATAATATTCCCCAATGTAATAGCTTCGTTTTACTAGGAGTAACTTTACAGAGTGACGGAAAATTTGATGAGCATGTAAGAACTAAGCTTGTCAAAGCAAACAAGTGTTTACACGTCCTACGAACATTGAGAAAGGAACATTACTCTCAGGCAGAGATTGATCATCTTTTTATATCCATTGTTTTGGCTAATTTTAGCTATGCACTTTCAGTCTATGGGGCATCTGAGTCCGATCTTACGGTTGTACAAAATTTTTTAGACCGATGTCATAAACGCGGTTTTATCTCATTTCCAGTTTTTATCAAGAACCTTTTAAACAAACAAGACCGAAACATTTTGAAGAAACTAAAATCAACGGATTGCCACCCCCTGAAAGACATCATTCCTGTCCAAAAGACATATGTACACAATCTTAGGAAAAAAGGCTGCGCGCGCCCGANGGATCGTTTTTTACGCTGTTAATATTTTGTATTGTAGTGGATTTTATGGAAATTATTGCTAAATAAAGATTGTTACCATTATTATAATTATTATCATTATTATTATCATTATTATTGTCATTATCACCTTCCATGAACAAAAACATTTCATTAAAACATTTCGAGTATGGAAGTAACACGTCACCATGATAAGATAAAGTTTATATTTACTGATTATTATTATTATTATTATTATTATCATTGTCGTCTTGGCAGTTGAGAGGTGGTTGCTACTCGAGTCCAAGCAAAGACTGAAGGTACAGCATTCTTCTTAAGCTGGCGTTTCTTTGAAGAAGGATTAATAAAATCTTCAGGCAAAAAGTGTTCGCTACATATGTTTGTGTACGATGTTGGATCGAAGTGCTTGGAATGTCTTCGCATTTTTGTGATCCATAGTGACAACAGTTTCTTTTGATTGTCAAGAATTGGAATATCATGGAACGAAAGATCACTATTTTTCTCAGAACTATTTTTACAGCCTCCTGAACAGCAATAATGTGGCATTTTTCGCTACGCTAATTTTCCCGCCATGTTTTGTTTCGATCCTGGTACCCAAATCAGAACACGTGCACCATGTTCGCGCGAAAACCGATTAGGTTTCTTTCATGACCAGTGCAAACCTTCGGCTGGGTCCCGGTAATAGTAGCATCGAGGTTTCGCACAACACCGTACGGACACGAATAGTAGCATCGAGGTTTCGCATAACAGCATACGGACACGAATAATAGCATCGAGGTTTTGGCGAACATCATTGAGAACACCAAAAACACCTGCGAAAATATTAAAAACCGCATCGGCAAACAGCATAATAAAATTCCAAACTCAATTTTGGCGGTAATCACCCTTCATAGCAGCGAAGCTGTCAGCGCATTCTTATCATTCCTGCTAGTTTTAACTTATATTATTTCCAAGTAAAAAATTTGCTTTTTTAGGTAAAATTCTCTATGCACATTTTCAAACGCTCTCTCTTCGCTTTTTTGGCCTACTTTTCAACTCTTTTTGCATTATTTGAAATTATTAGCAGTTCTAATACTTTCATGACCATTAAAATTATTATGCTTTTCATTTTATTCATGCTGTTTTCAAGTGTGTTTCTGGTTGTTTAAGTCACGGTCATTCCACATGTATGTTTGCCAGTTTTCAAGAAACAGTGACTTCAGAGACCATAGTATGTAAACATTACGGTGACTGTCTCGATTCGTGATAATTATTTCAGTGAACGAGAAAAATTAAAGCCAATTTCCACTTTGTCTCCCACACGTTTGAATCTATTCGAAACACTCAAATCATCAGCTATTCTCTAAATAGTTTATTAGTGTAATTTGTTTTAAATGTCGTCAAATTATTAATTACGTGAGGAATTCGATATTGCACATGAAAACATTGGCCATTTCGGATTCCAGTGGTGAACCCTTGGCAACACCGTTAACCAGTTCTGACAGGCTTCCTTCAAACTGAAAGAGCTGAGTTTTTGTTGCAGTGTTTATTTGAAATGTTTAGCCCATGTTCTCTATTGAACCAGTCAATCTCTGTGCTAGATACTCTTTTCTCCATCATCATCATTGTTGTTATCATAACTGTCATCACTATTATCGTCATCGTCATCGTCATCATCATCGACATCATAATCATTTTTGATATTTTGTGTTAAAGATTTCATTAGTTGTCTGTCAATTTCTTTCAAAATTACCACTTGATAGACCTTGTAGCTATGTGGTCACATGATTTGAAAACGGGTAAACAAAAATAAAAATTGCTGCCTCTTAATTAGGTGCCGCAGACGAAATCTTAAGGACGAAATTCCATCTCCTCTCACAGAAACTTTTATATCTACGAATAAATAATCTCTCAAGTGACTGAAGTAGTGTCAAAATCGGTGACATTCGAAACAGAGTCTTAAACTGATATTATAAACAACGACAGCCGGTCAAGGTTCTCAAACGGATATTTCTCAGTCGGAGATTTTTCTGAAAATTATCTACGTTCAAGTATGACACTACCAGATATCCCTGACCAATAACTACCTGGTTCTTTCTTCACCAGTAAGTAAATATTTTTGCATCTCTCTACCGATGCGTTTTACAACACATTATGATGAAACCCTCGAGATAAATAGCCATTAAGATGAGATTGACTAAGATATTGTTTGATGGAAATGTGAGGAAAAGAAATTGTTGTGTCATTTGTTAACAAGGCAAAAAAAATTATGGCAAGAAGTGGAGTGAAAATGCCACAAGCGTATAAAGACATATTGACGAAAGTGAGGGATCCACTGGTAAGCGACTTGGAACCGCAAATGGTGTTGGTGAAGATGGCGGCTTCTTTTGTGTTTAACGCCAAGGACGAAGAGGATATAAAAGGAGAAAAAACACGTTGGGCTAAAAGTGAAATGTTGTTAGAAAGATTAAATACAAAGTCTTCTGATGCATACGACTACTTCAAAGAAGCACTTCGTGAAGTTCAGCCTCATCTTGAAAATTTGATTGTCAGGGCTGGTAAGTGAATACAGTGTAAGAGCACGCAGGAATGATGAATAATGACATAAAAAAAACAACAACAACAACAAAATAGGTACAAAAACTCTTACTCTCCAAATTTACCTCTTCCATTTTGAGTATTTTTGGGTCAATACTGTAATAGCCATACCGCAATTCAAATATCCCAACTGGAAGGGGCAAGATTAGACGTTATGGCTCAGTGGAGAGGTTTAATTCCGGACCACCGAAATATAGTGCGCAGAGTTCAGAACTCGAGAATACTATCGGTAGATTCCAAGACTGGCGCCCCCTCTAGGAGAAATGCAGGGTACCATGCAAATGTAATTTATCTGTCTGTCTTTCTGTTTATCATAGAAACTAATTCTTTGGCGTTTCAAAGAGCAAAAGCCGGACTAGGAAGTAGGACAGGAGTGCAAGAAGCAGTAGTTCAATTTGGTATTTAAAAATAAAGTCTTTTTAATAAGGACAGAGCTTATATGCCTTATTTTAGGCTGTATTTTACTCGGTGAGATAAATGATCAATGCTAAAAATAGAACAATTACTCGATCTCTGAGGGACGGGACCAATCGCAAAAGCTAGTTACAGTACATTAGAAAAAAGTGAGCTGAGAAGTGAGAGATTAACCGAAGAAAATAGAAGGGCAATTACATAAAGCGGGTTCTTTACCAAACTTTTAACCGAAAAGACCTAATTTTTTTTAAAGGATCTTATCTCTTTTTAAAGAATAACAACTTGTTTCGAAGGCTATAAGTGTCCTTTCGAGATTTGGAAGGGTAATTTTGACACACATAAGGCATCGTAAACGTATGTAAGTTGAAGCGATTTATCCACTTAGATTTAGGAGCTTTTCACTTAAAAGTTTCCTAGTGAGAAATTACCTAAAGTGAGACAGATGCTGAAATTTAAGGCTATTGACAATGGCATTGTGCTTAATTTTGCTCCCAGCGTTCTTGAATGATTAACTATTTCGTTTTGAAATGGTAGAAAGATTTCAGATAAGTTCTGAAGCAACAGACAGATCAGTAAACAGGGAAGCAACACAACAACCATCAGGTAATTGTTCCAAATAGGAGGTATTATGCAAATGACTGTTTTCTTTCCCTAGTACAGCAAGGAAAGGAAGATGCAAATTTCCACATATTTTCAAATAATTTCCATCATGATACAGGCGTCCATGTATGCGTGTGTGTTTGTGTGTAATATATTTGCGCGTACGTTCGTATGTATCATCTGTGTATGTTTGTAGGCATGTACCCGTATGTATGCCATATAGCCACCCTAAATGTTCCACATTTGTGGTATCATCTAGGCCATGTCAGAGTTCTCAAACTATTGATTAGTGAAAATCGCACAGTTGCATGACATGACCCATCCTGGTGGAGAGCTCAACTTGGGCATGAAAACAAAGGATTGTGGTGATGCTCATTCAGGTCGGCTGATAATGAGAAGTTTTATCTCATGGCGCATCGTTATTTCATGGCGCATCCTTATTTCATGGCGTATCCTTATTTCATGGCGCATCTTTATTTCATGGCGCATCCTTCCATCAAGATCACCCTACAACAGTGCAACTAAAAGATACAACCTCTGCCTAAAAAAGAGAAACTACTCATCATCTGCCGACCTGAATTATCACCACTCAATAAACGTAATGAACTTGTGTCCCCCTGCCGCCACAGAAACAAATGCAAATTCAGGATATCAGAGTATTTATGTACAAAGTCAAACATGGTCTTGTACCCGAATTATTTCTTCACAAAGTCTTACCACGTTTTGAGACTATTTGCTATGGCAAGCACTCTGTCAGATATCTCGGGCCGTTTTTGTGATCAAAAGTTACTAAAAATCAAAGGGATTCGCTAAGTTTATGTGTTTTCATAAACAAAATAAGAAAACTGAACCTTGACGAGATTGTAATTAATAACAGCAGTTGCTGTAATCTTTGTAGTCAATAGGAATATTTTAGCTTTCTAAACTTTAAATTTTAATCATTTTTGTGTAAATATATAGTTTTTATAAGTGTATTTTAATTAAAGTGTCCCCAATTAGTCCTCTTAGGCTAAACAGATTGACCCTTAAATAACGGTCTTACTTACTTACTTACTGTATAGTATAGAAACGATTGTTACGAATATTCATGTCGATAAAATCCCCTGATGAGTGAGTAATCATGAAACAGGCTTGTAGTGATGAAAGCGTACTCAGTATTTCTAACACAACTCTACCTTTATGTATCGAGCACTGTAATACGGAGAAATCGAAACGCAGACCTCCTATAAATATATATATATATATATATATATATATATATATATGTCTTTACTGTTACGGTATTTTCACAGCCGACAGAAAGATACAACTCGTACTTTACTGACTGACGTGATAATCTTACTACGGAGCTATAGCAATAACCAGTACGATAATAGTCTTCTTTTCTTAAAGCCCTCGATAAAAACTATAATCTCAGTGTACTAATGCACAACTCACAGTTCTCTTCAAAGATCCTTGTAGCTTATCGATGTCCACAAAACTTTTCCTAAAGTAGCCTTCCACACGGCTGACGACTGTGTTCTATAATAATACTAGCTACAACAGCTCATAATTTGCGTTGATACCATATCTTTATATCATCATCCATGAAGTATTCCATTTCTCTGTTTATATCATAGAACAAATTGATGAGACATTTCAAGCGACAACCCAACCAGCAAGTGGGTTTCAAGACGTTCAGTCAAGTTACTCTTTCTCCAGCCGGCCTGACAATGTGATAATAAGAGGTATGCAACCGCTAATAGAAAGATAGAAAACTGCTTACTACTTTAGAAGCCTGCGTGCCATAGCTATTTCCAACAGACTCTGTGAAAAAATTGTTAAGAGTCTCAGCCTCTTCGTTCTGATTCCTAATTATCTTGTCATTGTCTTTCAGTTCTTGCGTGAGTTAGTATAGCGCGGATTAGTCCTCCAAAACTTTTTCTGATCAGGATACTATCCATTAATTCCATATCTATCTTATTATAAATCTGTCTCTATGTCATAGAACAAAGTGATCAGACATCTCAGGTGACAATCCAACCAGCAAGTGGGCTTCAAAACGCTCAGTCAAGTAACTCTTTCTCCAGCCGGCCTAACAATGTGACAGTAAGAGCAATGCAACCGCTTAGAGAAAGAAGGAAAACTGCTTACTACTTTAGAAGCCTGCGTACCATAGCTATTTCCAACAAATTCTACTAAAAAAGTGTTAAGAATCTCAGCCTCTTCGTTCTGATTCCTTATCATGTTATAAATCTGTCTCTATATCATAGAACAAAGTGATCAGACATCTCAGGTGGCAACCCAACCAGCAAGTGGGTTTCAAGACGCTCAGTCAAGTTACTCTTCCTCCAGCCGGCCTGACAATGTGACAATAAGAGGTATGCAGCCGCTAATAGAAAGAAGGAAAACCGCTTACTACTTTAGAAGCCTGCGTGCCATAGCTATTTCCAACAAATTCTGTTCAAAAAGTGTTAACAGTCTCAGCCTCTTCGTTCTGATTCCCTATTACCTTGTCACTGTCTTTCAGTTCCTGTGTGAGTTAGTGTAGGGCGGATTAGTCCTCCAAAACTTTCTCTGATCAGGATACTTTCCATGAATTCCATATCTATCTTATTAGAAATCTGTCCCTATATCATCGAACAAAGTGATGAGACATCTCAGGTGACAACCCAACCAGCAAGTGGGCTTCAAGACGCTCCGTCAAGTTTCTCTTTCCCTAACCAGCCTGAAACTGTTTTTGAAAGAAGGACAACATGTTTTGCACTATTCAGGGCTTTATCTCTTGTGTAAATAGTGAGTCAGCATGGTGTGGACGCAATTATTTCTGAGTAAGATTACGGGCTTCATAGCATGATGAGAGATTAGTGTTCTAGAAATACTTTTACGTACTTTCAAGATGTCATCTTCATGATAGACCATGATAAGCAGTATAACTCTTTTAATGATACTAGATACCTTCGCTGGCTGTCTTTTTCGGAGGTCCTTCATATCCTTTAAGAGGGTTCCTATAGGTATCAAAATAACAATACACTGTTTTTCGCGTTTATTCAAGTTCCATACGTGCGCTTGACTCTTTTAAATTGCTATGAAATCATCTATAGTACCACTGGTCGTTATTTCACTGCTTCTGGCCGATTCTCGATGTTGCAAGATCAAAGTTTTAATACCAATCCTTCGTGGTGCTAGTTTTGAAAACTTACCAATCTTGACAAGGAGAGGGGATGTAGCCGCTAGAGAGACGGAAAACTGCTTATCATAGATGTTTTCCTCAAAATAAGTGCCTCTTTTATGGACCGAAGAAATTCGTCTGATAGTCACTCATATCATCATTTTATTATCGTTATCGTTGATCTCATTGTTTTGGTCTTTGACTTGCTATTTGAACTTGAAAAGAAACACTTCTTTTAGGCTTTACGGGAAAGCAATTTGGAGTATATTAGTTTTTGTTGCTTTTGTTATCGTCTCTGATCAATCCATATATTTATCGGTCGTAGAAAATGAGGATTCAACATCTCAAGCCAGAGCCCAACCAGCAAGGGAGACAAGAGTACGGGAACTAGCTTTTCAAACAGGTAAACATAATGACGATTTACAATATATAGCTTCATTATTATATGGAAAATTAACGCATGTCTACATGTTTTCGTCTGACTCACGGCTCTCAAATTTGAAAGGAAGGAAACTACGTCTGTATGTGTGTAGGCATGTTATTATAATAGTGTTATATGGAATGACATCAGTGAACAGTGACCTCCTCATTGAAAAATTTTAATTGTCACAAGATCGTCCTGCACAATCGAGTTTTGGTTAAACACTTCGCTTGTAAGTGGGAGACATGACAGGCTCAAGGTTTGTGTGCTGAACTCTGGGTCGAGAGGTCTGGAATCGAGACTTAGCCGGGTCTTTGACTCTCAAAATGCCTCTTTCTACCCAGGAGTATACATGGGGGTTAGCAAATTGTCAGGGAAGCCCGATAAAATGCTGGGGTATAACCTTGCGATGAATTAACATAAAATGGGGAAAGAGAGCAGTATTACACCTTATGTCTTCATGGTCTAGAAACCAGGATAAGCTCTGGCTTAATGGACCACTTAACTCGAGCACAGACCACTTACTTTGCTTGTAAGATAGCTTCTTAATTATCCATAACTGAGTTATAGACTTATAATTATGTGGTATGCTTTAGAAGTTTAAATGTAAATTTGAGGTACACAACTAGGTGGAAGAAAAGCAGTTTAGTGTTTTTGGTAAAACAAAGTTTTAAATCCTTCTATCAATCATAATAATAATAATAATAAAAGTCTTTATTATGCACTATAAACAACAAACGTGTTTAGTTACAATGATATGAACTCAGCAAGTATAAAACTAATTAATCAATCAAATTAATTAATCAATCTATCAATCTATCTATCTAACTATCAATCTGTCTATCTATCCATCTATCTCTATCAATATATCAATGTATTTATCTCTATCAATCCGTATATCGTATCTTCATCTGAAGCAACGGCCCAACCATCCAGTGGGGCAAGAGGGCAACCACTAAGATATAACTCAGGTATTGAAAATTATACATTGCAATATACGGTATTTACCGAGACGAGGATTATCTGCTTTTTATTTTCTAAGGAAAATATAAAATTCTTTATGCTTTCCTTGTTTACTTGCAATTTCTTTAAGAATTTTAAAAGGGTTTGTCGTCTTAGTTTCAATAGCCAGTAATTCCTTGCAGTTCAATTTTACAAGAACTTGGTAATTCCATTTAGATTCTCAAAACGCCATTAGAGGAAATTTTTTCCTGCTTTACTTTTATTTTCTTGTTATTATTCTAAAAGGGGTTGTCTTAACAAGCCGTCAATAGGAAAGATGTTAGATCTAACTTCAAGTACGACTACGACTAATTTTTTTTAGTTGTGCCCATTGCTGACGAAGCCACCTTTCAATTCTTACTCGATATCTTTACCATTTAGAATTCTCCCCATACCAGGTCTTAAAATAGCCTCAAAGCACTAATTCGTAGATAAAAAAATCCTAAGCGTGATACCATTGAACATTCAAAGTTATGGCCTTGCCAAGTTTCTAGGAGCTAGCAACCAATCAAACCTCTATGAAATTGCAAACCGCACGACTTTTATCAAAAGTTTATGATAGGACCAAACATTTTGTATCCAACCCTTGGAATAACATTATTATATTTGTCTTTAACTTGACAGATACCTACCTGAAGAAACCTTATTTAAATTAGCTGGTCAATATTCTGCTTAAGAATTGTTCTCTGCAAGTTGGCACATAAGAAATATGAGAAATCAATCGAAATCGCACAGCACTGTGAGAGTCATAGAGCATAAGGCGAATCGGCATTTCTGATTTTCCTAAATTCTTGCATTCGTTAAACTCAATTCTTGACATAACACACCTAGTAGAACCGTGACAACGACGGAACGATAAACAGAAATGGTAAATCTAGCTATTAAAAATTCCCTTCGCGTGAACTCTTTATGTTGTCTCGTTGAGATCTTGTGTGGATAGTCTTTTTCTAATCTGCATCGGTGTGAAAATTGCAGTGAAGATCCATAAACTTTAACAAAGGATGGGAGTTTCTTACTGAGCTGCTGCGTACGCGGGGAAATATAACAAGATAATCTGGTTTTATCAACTGAGTGTAAATTGGCCACCATAGAGTTTAAAAACTGTCTTTCGGTGGATTTGTGAGTTGTGCGTGTGTTCATACGCAAAAAATGGAACTACGCTATTGGTGGGAACATGGTGACGAGAAAAACAACAATAAATTAGTTGAATGAAAAGCCTTCGTTGATACCGTGAGGATTAGAGTGCTGATCTGAAAGATGAAATTTTATTTAAGAATTTTGCTTATTCCGAAGTACTTTGATGTAAGGAAAGGCCAAACACTACCATGTGCTTCTTAGAATGAATGAGGGAGATTTTAAAGTGTCTCGCAACTCGTTTGGATGCGTCCTTGTCCCGGAATCGGTCGCCTAGTCGTCTCCCTGTTTCGCCAATGTACATCTCGTTATAATGCAAGTTAATCAATAGATGACGTTAGCGAAGGTGCACGTGAAGTGATCAGTAATCTTAATGGATAGCTTGGGTTCCGATATTTTCTCCAGGCTATAAATGAAGGACCAAGTTTTACAACGTGCGTTATCCGGGTTGGTTATTAGTTTCTAAAGAGCCTCTCGGCAAAAAGTTACCTTTTTTGTTGCGATTGAATAATACTAGTGAAAATAGGTATGATGCACGATCCTCGCAGTAGACAGCGCTATTTATGCAATAGCGAAAATCAGACCTTAAAAAAATTTCAGGCCTGTACGGGATTCGAACCACTGACCTCTGCGATACTAGTGCAGCGCTCTACCTATTGAGCTAACAAGCCAACTAGGAGCAGGCCGTTAAGTTGATTCGTAATAAACCCGTGATAATAAATCAGATACAATGAATATATGAAGTTCAAATATTTATTACGAATCAACTTAACTGCCTGCTCCTAGTTAGCTTGTTAGCTCAATTAATAGAGCGCTGCACTAGTATCGCAGAGGTCAGTGGTTCGAATCCCGTGCAGGCCTGATTTTTTTCAGGTCTGATTTTCGCTTTTCCATAAATAGCGCTCTCTACTGCGAGGATCGTGCATCATACGTATCTACAACCACAGTTCAAAATATATGAACTTCATATATTCATTGTATCATTATTATTACTGTTATCATTACTATCAATAACAATCAAATTTTTTAGGTAGATTGGCAGTACTACACTGCGATTCGTT